CCCCCCCGGGTTCTTCCGTGTCACCATCCTCGTCTCTCGCTTAAGTCCCGGTCATCTCGACATCCTGATCCGATTCTTCCGGATCCGACTCGTCCAGATCCACCACCTCCAGATCCACCACCTCCTGATTCACCACCGGATTCATCACATCCGCCCTCAGGATATCCCTCTCCACTTCGTCTCGTGCCTTCCTTATCGCGGACTGAGCCGCCTCCTCTTCGGAGATGAGAGAAAGTGCCTTTCTCTTCTGGCCGAGAATCTTCTCTCTCATAGTTTCCAATGGTGAGAGGGTGAGCCGATGAGCCACGAGGCTTCGTCTGAGGTTCTGCAAGTACCAGGGTTTGGCCCCCAATACCTCGGATCGACAATCTGCCAGCGCTGCGGCGGACGCATTATCATTTCGCGTACCTGGCAACTTTATATTTAGGCCGCTCACTTCTATGAGCGAACCGGCCAGCAAGGTGACGAGCACCTCGGCATGGTTGATATGCTTGGTCTCCCACGCCTTGCACACGGGCAGGAGGACGACTTCGGGCTGCAAACCAATATGCGCGAGGCAGTGGATCAAGAGTCCCCAGATCTTTGGGGAATTCGCCAAGTTAGAGGTTAGGCGATGGGACTGAAAGCGCTGCAAGATGTCGCCGGCATTTCCGACCATCGACAAGCTCTGCATGGATGGCGTCTTGCGGTGCGTCCCGAAGACTTCGCTCTGCTGCTTTGTTAGCATCGAGCTTAGTAGCCTCGCCGCGCGAGCCTTTTGCTTGCCCTCCGCGTTGGCGAAGCGCAGCGTCGTGGGCGGGCGCCACATGACGGTGGATTGCGTGACGTCCGTAGAGGCCGACTCGTATCCCGCGTCTTCATCTTCGTCACGCGCCCGATCTATACGTTCGGCCGTATGCATGGCGTTAGACTGCACCTCGGTCAGCTGGGTGCCGGCCCAGTCGCCCTCCTGGCCTTCTAGCGCTTCGGCGGCTATGGCGTACTGCTCTGCTAGCCTGGCAAGCTGCACGCCCTCTTCTGCGGTCCACCCGCGACCGCCTCGATTGGCGATGCAGATCGTGCCGACGTAAGCGCCCGGCCCAACCGGGCTGTATATCATGTCGGGCTTGAGGTCTTTGCCCAGCGACAGCTCGAACGCTACGGTTCGACTTACTATCGCCCGCAAGAAGGGTCTTGGGATGGTGTGTAGGAGCACCTTTACGCTTTCCCGCTCGTTCCTGATGGTGTTCATCACCCTCTGACCTCCAGAGCCGCATTTGCGGGTAATCTCTTCCGCCATCCGTACGACGGTTGCATATAGCTGGTTATACGAGGCACCCGAGTCGATCTGAGCGACCATGTGCTTCTGCAGCCTGGACATCTTCAGGGGTGGCCCCATGGCCGCTGGCGGAGTACCTAAACCACTCATATCGTACCTATAAAAAGCGCTCGTATTACAGTCTCTATCTCGATACGTATATAGTGTCTTAGGACACACGAGCAGCAGGTTCACGATAGGTCTAGTTGGTTCAGGTCTAGCATTGGAAAGGATGCGAAACCCAGGAATTCCACATTCGTGCGCGAGATTAGGGCTACCCTACGGGAAAGGACATAAATCACTGCGTTGCGCCTTCAGGATGGCAAAGACATAGGTCTGTACTACGTACGAAGGTCTACGCGAAGACGTACATGGGGGTATACATGGGGGTATACATGAAGGTATACACGAATGTATACCTACGAAGTAGGCAAAGGGGTAGATATACATAGCCCGCCGACACCTCCCCAAGAAGCTCCTCCCCGCGAACGAGTTCCCGGGGCATCGCGTTCCCGTCCGCTTTATCAGAGAAGCCTTATGGCTCTTTTCGAGGTAAATAAGTAAGGATGCAGGTTGCGATCGGTGAGATTTCGACTCTTCGGAATCCGATTTCGAATCTGTTAGCATGTATCTTCTCCGGCATCGACTAACGTGACTAGCGACGACGACGAACTCTCCACTGTATCGATTAGTACACCTAGGAGCAGGCTAATCCTTGACTGGCTTCTGTCACACCCCAGCCGGGTAAATCAGGGGCACGCGCGGATCGGTGGTCATACCACCCCCGGTCCAGGTTAGCGTTTAACCTAAAAGTCGTCTCTACGACCGCGATTATTTTCGGCAGAATTATGCCTACCTACCCATATACGCCGACATTATAACAGAAAAAAGGTCTTCGATTAGGTAGGTCTCTACGTAGGTAGTAGGTATGTATAAACCGTTCTAATTGCCCCGCGGAGAGTGCTAGGTGATATGTCAGGGGTTAGAATAGGGGGATCATATTTCAGGGGTGCAGGACCTATCTCCTACTGGGTTGGCGATGGTGGGAACTTGTTAGGTAGAGCCAACCTTTTGCTTCCGCGATCTGGTAGAAGTGAGTTAGGTTGCCGAGAGATAACTTACCCAAACTTGGACACATAGGACGACGATTTGATCATACGGTAACGCTGTTCACCAGAGTTAACGACCGATGTATGCAAAGATTCAGTTACTTACTAACTACCCAACTACTTGGCTACCTCCTCGGTGAATGTTAGACCGGAGAGGCCATGTCTATTTCTCGACTTTCAATATGATGTAGGGGTCTGTCTGTCTTCCCACTTCCAACACGCGATTGATGGCCTTGCGCATAGGCAATGTTAACTAAATCCGATAGGCGCCCAAGGACCTATCTAGGTAGGTAACATAGCGGTTAAGTCCTGGTCTCGGAGAGTTGCTGGCTCTGACGCCAACACGAGATGGCTTGGGTTTATTCGTATAAGGGCGCCGCTTGCTAGAGACGGTTGTTAGTAATTGCCTACCTACCTACCTAAGTATCTGTCGCTCCCCAAAAGCCACACAGCCTCATTAACTCCTTCTTATGTGCACCCTCCAATGAACACCCATAGATAGAAGAATAGGATGGACTATGCAAGAATTAGCATCGATAAGGAGGGATTCGCACCAGTAGTATTCGAACGAGTCGACGGTGATGCTCGCGACGACGATGACGCTGCTCGTCGTTCGACTGCTGATAAGCAGCAAAGCTTGCGCAGCCTCAGCGGGCAGACTTGCTGCTTGCGATACACCTTCCAGTCCAGTCGATAGCGTTGAGCAACTTTTTACATAAACCAGAGGACAAGCGACTACCTAGAGCAGCTACTACATACCTACCTACCTACCTACCTACAGAGGTATGTAAGTACGTAATAGTATCGATGTCTACGTTTTAGAATAAAGTTAAGGTTTGGCTTAGATAAAAAAAAATCGATCATTCGAATGGAAGAAGGGAAGGGAGCCTCCAGTCTCGGATTGATAGGCTCCAACGGAAAGTTTACTAGCGGATGGTTAAGTATCGAGTATTGGGAACCTACCTACATGCCTATAGGTAGGTATTGATGTAAGTATCTAGCTCAAGGGATATCGCTTATGTTACGGTACGAAAGCCCCCAAGCATTACGAGATTGAATACATCGAGTGCTTACCTATAGGTACAGGCCTAGGTATGTAGCTGGACTCCTAGGGAATGTGCTTCTCGCTTAGGTAGAGTCTTTATACGCGTACCCAGGTAGCATTGAAAGATAGAAATTTCTCATCTCGCTTCTTCCTGTCGACCGTGATTTGCCCGTGCCTACGATAAGCCCTGAATTTTCGCGCAAGAAATACGAACCAAGATGGCGTCGCGACAGGAACGAGAAGAGCGCGAGAGGCGTCAGCGGGAGTGCGAGAGGCTCGAGGAACAGCTGTTGCAGGATCGGCTGAGCGACGAGCAAGTCCAGCGGCTGGATCAGGTGATCAACGAAGGC